TCCTCCTTAGTTATGCTGTGTGACCCCTCAATACCTCTTGTGATTTTAAAGCTCCTATTTTATATAAAGAAGCAGCGACTTATTGATAGGAATTATTGCATTGTCTAAACTAGTCAGCTGTATGAAAACATCATAGCAGTCTTTGATGTGCATCTACTGCTGAAGTAGGCCCACAGGACCAACATGTTCTAAAGGACTATAAACACCCACATCTTGTCTAACACTTCAACCCAACTATTTAGGAACTACTTCAGTAGTGCATAAGTCTCCTAATTAATGATTTGGCCAAGCAGTTTCTAACTGAAAGCACTGGTAGCATGCAGATATAAACACTCCCACCAAACCACAGTTGTGCTTCTTCTTTTGCCAGTAGACAAGCAATGTAATGCATTGCTCAAGTCCACTGAGATGTGCCAAACTCATGAACAAAGAAGGGCAGGGAGGGCAGTATTATATATGTTCTGCCATATATCTTCTTCTTCCAGGCTCCTAAGGTGGCTTTCTTTCTGCATTTGCTCTTGTGTCTTTTTTCTTTTTTCTTTTTCTCTTTGTTGTTTTGGTTTTGATATATGTACCATATAAAGCAGATTTTGGTTAATAATAATCTGGCATCCGTCTGTGGCTGATAATTCCATCTTCTCATCCTTCTGTGTGTCTTCCTTTACGTGACCTAAAATTAAAACTGTGCTTCCATATTGAAGTTGGCTATTTTTCAATTTGTCTGGAGCTCTTGATAGAGAAGTTTTCAGCTGGTTATTAAGTCTTTAGTGGGAAAATTTCTTCTTTATTCTCCATTTGTGCAACATAAAACATCACTCGCTCACTAGTACTTTGTCCTTTCATGCAAGTACCTTCTGCAACAGAACAGGATACGGCTTCCCTCTGGTGTTTGGTCACCTTTTATTATCCAACGAATCTGAGACTAAAGCTGGAGAACAGCTCATGGGCCATCACCTAGAGACAGTTCAATTCAGTAGTTAGGGAATTCCGTGTGAAATCTGAGTTCCGTAGATAATTTTGTGCCATGGAATCAAATATCCTTCTCTCTTTTCAGTCCCCTTCAGAACAGCTCCCTATATTTGCATCAATCCATTCACATTGCCTACAAATCTAAATATTTATTTTCTCCCCTCTACTCTTCTTAACTTTGTAATAATATTATACATAAAGTAAGTTTTCTGTGGCATGAAACTGCAATCCATTTCAGTTTCATTTGCACAGATATCAAATGAAAAGATCTAATCTCACCAGGTTTGAAATGGAGATAGTGTCAATAAATGCTTTTGTTGCTTATTTAAATTTTGCATTTCATTTGAAGATTTTTAGCTTTATTATCTTAAACTAAACTGCTTCCTACTTCCTACACTGGCACAGATTGGAAAAACTGACCATGTAGAATGGATAACTGAAAAGAGCAAGCTTTCACCTCTCCCTGAACTATTTTTTAAAAAACCTTAAAAAACAATGCCCTTAAAAAAGCATTGTGGTTGCACCTTCCCTTGTTTTCCCATAGTGCCCCTTGTGCCTGTATCTGCCTGTCCAGAATAGTCTCTGCCCTGAAGACTCCTTAGCAGAAGGGTTTGAAGTGTGCATCCTTCCAACTTCTGTACTGAGACTCTCCCTGCAAGTTCTGCCACTGATAGAATTGCCTTTTTCTTGGGTTGTCTTTGAAAGCCTCTCTCTGCTCAGCCATAAATTCAAAAAGGAAGAGATAGGGGCTGGATTTCTGCCCTTTCAGCTGCCAGCATTCCACCTAAAATCTGCACTAAGCTGGGAACAAACATTTATTTAACAAACAAGTTCAACACGGGGAAAAACCCATCAGCCTTAAATCTTCTGCAGTCTGTCCAATAAGCACATCAGGCTTCAAAGCCAATGCTGGATAACTTTCAGATCAACTCTTGCTCTAATGGGCTCTCATCTTGGTTCTCACAGCAGAGGATCTCTATGAGGCTGAAAAACAGTTGTGTGAGTGATCTTAGTTTTGTGTTTTTGTTGCTTTTTTTTTTTTTTTTCTCTCTTTATCTTCTATTTTCTTCTCAAAGTCGTTTTCCATGCTCCTGCTTAATTTATGACTAGTTTGTCTAGGTCAAATTGAAGAGGTTTCTCTTAATGCCTGAGATGGAAGGATTTATTTTCAGAGAGAAAAATCAGAAGCAAATGATTTCTTGGCTGAGGAGCATAAGTACACTGAACCATGACTGTTCTCTGCCTGGGCTCAGTTCCACTAAAGGCAGGTTGCATAACTACTGCATTCACTACTAGCATGACGGCTTCTTTAGAAATGAACACTTGTAGTAGCTACGAAAGAAAAGAGTATTCAACTAATGCTTTTCTGTCAGTGTCTCCTTTCCCGCTCGCTGAGATTAGGACTGACCACAGATTTCTAATACCTTATATAAATGCCATAAGAAGAGCAATGAAGGGGTTAGAGCTGCCTGTTGCATCTAAAAATTCCACTATCAAAGCTTTTTTCCACTCTCTCTCAGACTGCTTGCTCTTCTTTTACAGAAAGCCTCCCTTTTATCAATTGCACTTGGTCCATCATCTCTACCTAAAAAAGGACTGAATAGCAATCTATTTTGTGATTTCTCAGCCATCAGATTTGCCTCAGTACTTCTTCAATTCTGACATTTCTCTGTATGAATTCAAAGCAGCATATTTTGTTTGCTCAGCATCCCTTTGAAATGGTATTCCTTTCTGTAGCTGCACTTTGTCTAAATTTAAGATGCTAACAGCACGAATCTGTTGTGGTTTACACTGAAAGAATAAATCCCCATCTACACTTCAGAGCTAGACCTGAATATACCAAGATGAATACTGTAGAACTGATTACTAAGTGATGTGCTCATCCTGCAGTCAAGCAAGTACTTACACATTTTTCTTGTCTGGTTCATAGTCTCCTTTTTTTCAGCTTCTAAGAAAAGTACTGCTGATAATTTTGACAATTTTCTTTCTTTCCATTTCTACTCTGGGTTAACGAGTTAGCCTGTGCTCACTCTGCTCTTATGCATCAAAAAAAATGAAGTGTTTCAGAAAGTATGTTTTTCCAGCTCTTAGGTTGTTATTTTTCAATTATATTATGTAAATACAAGTTATTGATAGTCATAAACCTTATTTTATAGATACCAGCCACGAAAGTATTTCAATAACAAGATACATGGCAGATCTGTGTGACATTTTTCTGGACCTCAGTAGCCACTGCACTCTGCATTTCATTAAATGTAATGCCAAGAAGATATGTGTTCAAATGTACTCTGATGAACACATTTTCTAGGTTTCACATAGCAGAGACTTTATAACTGTCTCAACATCCTGGCTTTTAAGAAATATATACAAAAGTATAAAAAAATACTTCGTGCATGAAAAGCTCTGTTTTTCAAAGTGCACACGCATCTGCAGTGCTGATCTTCCCAGTGGTGGACAACTACAACTCTCTGCACCCAGATATAGCAGCTATTTTTAAGCCTTTAATTAAAGCAGCATGCCAGTAATATGCTAGATATTTACTGAAACGCAGTACAAACACACACCACAGACACAACCTAATTAAAAACACCAATTTGGCACCATCTGACCTGATCAAATATCTGCTACAAAAATCTTTACTTAGTTCTCTAATCACAATGCAATTGCAAGCACTCATGTAGCTCTCAAGTAAACTATATTAAAAGAAAAATTAAAACATACAAGAAATACAGAGAGTAAAAAGTACGTTCTCTGTGACTACATACAATAAAGGATCATTTAATTGATTTTGAAAAGCAGGTAGTCAGGCATCAGATAAAATAGATATATTTGACAACTAAGTAGTGAGTTAGTTGTCTCACATTCTGCTCTTTAACTAGGATGACAAAAAAGATCTTGAAGAGCTTTCTGTGTAGATGAACATGCCAGTAAATACATGTTACACAATTCAAAATGCTAAACTCACCAATTAAAACTGGCGTTTATGATATAACTACTATTGGCCCACGTTTTATACATGTTTTTGCCAAAACACACAATGGAATTGAAAATATTTGCTATACCAATACAGCCCACTAGAGGCCCGGTTACATGGAGTAGTTTAGAATATACTTAGAAGAAATGTAATGCAGTATTAATAGAATCATCTGGATTGCCACCTATATCCCAAAGTGTCAAGTTCTCTAGTATTTTTAATTGCAAGAAAAACAAACAACTTCATAATATGGTGGTTAGCTTCCTGAGACTTCAGGATAGTAATTGTTCCAGTAATGCTTTGAGTAGATAAATTAGATTATTAGAGATATTTTCCTTCATAGAATATTGTGGTAAAATAACCACTTGCTGTGATGCTTGAGAATAATAAAGTTGGCAAGCTGAACTAGATATGATTTTTCATCCCACTTTCCTACTCACTTGATGTAAAACAGGATCTCTTAGTATCGCACATCAGATCATACATCAGAACTCCATCAGAATCTTGTAACCAACACACAGACCAAGACAAATATAGGCAAATATCATATAGATAGAGGTATACATAATACCACCTTGATAAAAATAGAAAAACTCCATGCCTAATCAGATAACCTCTAACAGTACATTGCGAATGTCTTAGATTAGAATAGTTTCCAAACGTTTGATTTGGTAGACATGTGATATCCAAAGACAAAAAAAAAAAAGATATTTCATGAACGTCTCTACTCTGTGAAGTAGCAAGGCTTAGCATAATACTGCTGTCTGTCTGCCTTCTACTCACATGTAGGAAGAAGACCCTTAACTGATCTGAATGCTTCAAATTAAGTTATATATGGTATGTTTAGTTCATGGACTGACACAAAGTGTTCCAGAAAGTCATCCTAAAGTATATAACCCAAAGGCATGAGGTTAAAATGTTTTTACTGTGCCTTTCTGCTTTACTAGTCCCAGATGTTTTACTCATCTTCCACTGCGTTTGTAAGTAAGGTGGCATAAGGAAACTGCACAGAACACAGCTCTCTGGATAATGTACTAATTGTTTTACTGGTTCTCACCTCCTCAACCATGTGCTTAACTTTCTTCTGTTGGCAGTGGACCATATCATCCAGATGCTTTATTCTCTCCCTTAGGCTAGCTGCTACCTCCTCCAAATGCTGTGACCTAGCAAAAGATGGAAGAGTTAAACGTATAAGTGAGAAGGTATGCAGCAGAAGCAAAACAAGAATAAACTGCCAGAATCTCACCACAAATCAAGAAGATCCGGTACAGAGGTAGGCAAGTCAAATTCCACTGGCAGAAGTGTATTTTATTTGTCTAACCTACGTCTTACTGGTAGTGTAGTAGTCTAAGTAGCTGTCTCCACCCAAGTTCACTCACCTTTCTCTGGCATTCTGGCACACTTACTCATAGCCCAAAGTGCTGACAGTTAAGCATAATAATAAAGCTCATCTTCTTGAGACATCTGTTTTTCCTTGAAGTAAAAGGCATTTAGACAACTAGATCTTTATCACCTGAAAGACACATTTATCCTGGCTTACAATCACCTGCAAACCTTTCGGAAATATAAGCGAAATAGAATCCAAGGAAGCACATCTGCAGCTGTCCTTTTAAATGCTCTCCTACTACGGGGCAGCTGTGAATCGAGTATTTGGCATAGTTGCCAACAGTAGCAGAAAGCTAACTGGAGTAGAAATAAGTCAACAACAGTCAGCAAGAGTTGCTGCGGATGTTTTTAGTTTATACCTATGGCCTTGTATAGAGATTCTGTTTTTCTTAAAAGCCATTTAGCACAGAAATAGAACATTCTTCCAACTCCTACCAAAAACTGAAACAGGAGGAAATATTTAAGAGACTATTGGCATGTTGGCCATGACCTCCTCCTTTTTTATCTGAATATACAGTTTTCAAAATTCATAAATAAGAGCAATTTGTGGCTTGCAAAATAAGCTTCTGTACTGCTAGGTTCAGGACAGATTCGAGAAGTGGAGGAGGGGAATCAAACACAAAAAGAATTTTTTAATCTTGCTCTGTGCACAGCAGAAGAAACTGCTGAAGTCGCAAACAGAACAACCATTTTAAGGAAAAGCAGCAGATGGCAAACTGTATGACATGATTCTATTGAATGTCTGAATTGCATGCTGTTTCCCCTCCATAAAAAGCTTCTGTTAACAGCACTCTATGGAACTGTAACCTCAGCACTTGGACAAGGACTCAAAAAACAAGGCATTACTGCAAGTTTTTTAGTCACACATGTTAAGGTCTCACAAAGCCGCAGTTTTCATTTTGCAACTGTAACACACATCTTACCTCATTAAAAGATTTTAAAGTACTACAAGTAATGGAGAAACAGAAGAGATAACATTCCTCAGGTAGAGAACTTCAGAACAGACCTCATCATGTGAATACAGATTCACTGATTCATTGCATAGATTGCTATCGTATGCTTGCTCACTCTGCACTGCACAAATTCCTGTCTCTCCTTTACCCTTTTTACTGCAGCATAACTTTTCATGCGGAGTGGGCAGAGCAGGATTCACTGAAGTGGGAAGAGTATCAGTTAGACAGTGGTAAAGGAAAGAAGGAAATAGTTTTTCATCTCCATATTCTATGTTGTGTAGAACATCTATACATTTTAAAATGTTGTTTTAACAGACTGACATGAAAAGCCATTATTTCCCTGAAACCAATAAGAAGGTCACAGATCAGTGCAACTAGGCAATAAGGTGCTCTGGGCAGAGACTTCCTCTTGCGTTTGTGCATCATATAGAAGAATAGGATGCCAGAACTTCAAAACTTTAAAACTGAGTTTCTAGGTCCCCAGAAATATCAATAGTAATCAAGTATGATTGTTCAGTCTCTGCTTATAAATCATTTTTACCCACTCTACTAGTGTCATATAAACATTTGAGAGTAATAGACACAATTCTCACTCCAATGGTAGTTACGCTACCTTGGTGCTGGATAGATTTCTCTTGAAACAGTAATTCTGGCTTTGCATTAAACTTTCTTTTGCCTATTTGTGATGCTGCATTGGTCTCAAAGAAGTAGCAGTGGATGCACATGCCATCCTTGGGCAGAAGCAGCACACCCAGGTGCCACCACGCCATTAGCTCTTCCTTTTTTGCCTCATGCTTTCCAGAACAACCATTCACAGAGGTCTCACTGCCAGCAACATCACTCTCACTTCCCTCAAATAACTTCACAACCTATTTCTGCACTGTGATGCTACAGGACAGATTTTTCCACACCTTCATTTTGTTCATGTGCATATGTTCCCTACATTTGTAGACCTGCTCCTCCAAACGTCAAACATATTCACTGTTTTTCTTTTATACAGAAGACAAGTTGGCAGTCAGATGCAAAACTCTTGCTCTCTTCATCAGTTCAAATTATCAAAGATGAACTTTTTTTTTATCCTACAGCTGATTTTATCCTATCGCTTCATATTGATACAGAATATATTTTCTTTTAGAACCATATCAAATGGTCTAGAAGGTGATGACCAAAGTGTTTGTAGTTAGCATTATACTACAATGAATTTGGGAATGCAGATTTAAGAAAAATGCAATCCATTAAATACGTTATGTTGCACATATTCTGCATGTTTGCAAACAACTTTTCAGGACAAACGTATGGAAGCGATTTGTGATTAATCCTCTTCATATTTTTTTTATATTTGAACAAAGAACTTATCAGATGGACAATGTCTCCTAAACTGCAGATTTCAAGTTAGGAAAATAAAATTCAGATGTCCAAAAACCAACCAACCCCTAACATTATCTAGCAATACTGTTCATTGACGAAACATATCTCACCTCTCACTGTCGGAGTTGCTTTCAGATTTTGCTCCAGATAGTTGTATTTCATTTAGTTCCAGTTGTTTTTGCAGCTGGTGACGTTCCTAAACAAGAAATGCAATAGCCTCCCTCAGTTTTCCATATGTCAAAATGTAAAGACTTCACTAAGAATAATATTTCATTGCAATTCAAAACACCATTTGTGAAATGAAAATAGAAAGTAATTAAACAAATTTACAGCTGCTACAGAGGATTCATTCATCGCCTATATCCACAGAATTAAATAGTAGAATCAAATTCCAGCTATCCAGACTTATCAATCATCCATGTGAAGATGTGCAGTGATACTTGAAACTGACATATTTAATGAAGAAATGAATCATCACTATCTTTAACTACATAACTGTCTTATTTTCCATGCTATCCTACCAAAAAGATTTCTCATTTCAAGGCAGAGATACAAGCTACTCCTCTATTTCTTCCCTCCAAAAACATCCTTTTTCAGACATCCACAAAGTGCTTGTGAAAAATCTGTGAGAACTTGGGAACTGAGTGAACACAGATCAATAGAGGAATCTGCTATCCAGTTTGATGGGAATTTAAGAGAGCCATTCAGTTTTACTCTGCAAATATCAAGTAGATGAGAGCAAATCAAATAACTAAAGAAAAGAAACTCATCCGTACTGTAAGAACGGTGTTACAATTCCTTTATTCATTGCATAATACTTATAAGCGATAGGCTGCAGCCCAGATGAAGTTAACAGAGCTGCTGAAGTGGCCTGTTAAGCTGACATGATTCCTCAGAGTAATCTTTAATTCTACTAATGAGACTTGTAAGCGTTAGACAAAAGAGGCTCAATATAAATGCACATCAGACTAACCAGTTAAGCCAACAAGACTGGCCATTAAAAATACATTCCTCAGCAGTAGCAAAAATTTACTATATTGAAGTCCATACTGAAGTAGATGAAAAAACATTTCACTTGTAAAACACAAGATTATATTATCTTTACTTACTAGAATTTCTCAGTACATTCTCTGTTTCTGTATTCTAGATACAAAGACCCAGATCTCTAAAGATAATGACATGTCTGCTATTTAATTAAATGGGAGACACCAAAGTACATCCTAGAGTACTGAAGACTTTTAAAAGTGCTGCTCTTATCCCTTTTAGCATGATACCATACAGTCTAAGGATTAAACAATAACATTCATCCTTAGTTCAGTGAATGATACTAGAAAATGAAGAAGAAATTTCACTGTAACTGCTGGAGACAGAGGATATATAAAGCTTTCAGCTTTCAGTTTCAGATATTTGAGAAGGTCCAACAGATGCGATTGAGAAAAAAAAATACCAGGCAGGAAAAGGTATTCTGATACTCACAGACATAATCATGCATTAGAATAATAATAATAATCTGAATACTACTGTAAATTTTGTCCCAGAACAAAATCCATAGAAGAGAAGGAAGGGTGGGAAATAAAAAGAAACAATACAAAACTGCTGAAACTAGTTTTATGGTAGTGCTGCCAGTGTAGCAAGAGATAAACATCTCAAAGCATTTCTGCTTTCAGAGATTTAAAAGTCAATCATCCAAGAAACAATTCTTAATTACATTTTAGTAGGGATTATTGAGCTAGGGGGAGAAATATTTTTTTAATACTGTCAGAAAAGAAAGAAGGTAGATTTTAGATTGAAAAGCATTGTACTCAATCTTTTCTTCCCTTCCCAAAATATTCTGAGACATCAAAATGAGGTAAAGTCTACATGGAAAAAGGAAGCGGCTGCTACATATCCGCAAAGAACATTCAGAACCTTTTAGTTTGAAGCCTTCAGATTAGCATTGTATTCAAATGAGAAGAAATTTGGAGATGCAATTCCAATCAGAACTATAAATAGTTTAATAACAAGGCCTGTATCTTGCTAAAATACGTTTTAGTAGCCCTACCAACAACATTTCTATGAGCTTTTGGGTCATTTACGATTAATTCATTAGGCTTGGGAAACCATGTACACAGCAGGAAGACAAAATGTTTTTTTAAAATGATGGTTTACTACATAAAGCAGCTCTGACCACCAAAAAAGTAGAAGAATCACTTAGTCACAGTGTCTCCTTGATAATCTAGATGCATTTATTTATATGGATGCAATAACAGAAGTGGTAAATCACTGAGTATGGTACTGAGCAACAGGCAACTAAAAAATAAATAACATTCCCTTCCGGTACTTCTCCCTTGTCTTTGAATATGACAAGCAACTAACTCTCATACCTCTTCCATGCGTTCAATCAACCGATCCAGCTCACCAATTCTCTGGTCTTTCTCCTGTATACTTGTTTCTGTAATCTGCATCTTCTTATTTGACTCCTCAATAGCCTTCAGAAGCCGGTTGGTTTCCTCCTTCATGTAAGAAGATTTACAGTCACAACAACATACAGTACATTAATGAGAAATGAAACCATTCTTAGGCTGTAGCATCAAGACAGCAGTTTGTAAGCAAAGCTCAAAGCTGTTCACTTACCTAGAAATCTGGAAGAGTTGTGATCCCAAATGTGTATAGAGCAAAAGATCTGGGGCATTTTGAAGCACAGAGGTATTGTAAAGTATCATTATGAAAGTGTGAGAAAAACACCATTTCTTACATATTTGTTCTCCCTTCTGAATAGCAGTGAAGAAACAGCATGAGAAACTACGCTATTCCAATTGACAGCTTTTATCCTGTTCAGCTGTGTACTTTCCTCACACGTAAAACAACAGGAATAGAAACAGGCTAGGGAATCTACCTTCAATCTCAATCATCTGTCTTTAGCAGTTAGAAGAACATGACAAACTGTTCAAAAAAGGTTTTACTTGTGGGTGGAATGAAACAAGGAGACACGAAGAATTACTGTCTAACTAATGTCCAGTGAAATTTACCCTTCTTCCTTCCCTCTTCTAAAATATCACTAAAATTGGAGGATCAGAAGCTAAAAAAAAAGAAAAAAGGCCAAAATACTTAATTTTAAATTTTGAAGCCTATGTTATCATTACTGCTGCTGCGTTTGAATATGCTTTTTTCTCAGCCCTAAAACCCCAATAGCTTTGAAAACTGTGTAATGGTGGTTTGACAAGTCACAAAGAAAGAAGCATATGCACACTCCGGACTATTAGGTGATTGAGAAATGACACCCAAACTGAACACCACTTTTACAGACCAAATATACATACTAGGAGAATTTCCTTCTCAGCTTTATGTTTCTGCTCCTCTTCTCTCAGTTTTTCCTCATATTGACTGTACAGTTTTCTCGTCATCTCTCTCATGACTTCAGCATTGGCTTCTTGTGATGATTCCACCTACAATAGGGGAAAGGATGAAAGTTACAGTTGACCCATCAGTCAGTAGAGCACAGATGTCTGCAGGAGAAATGAAACTCGCATGATATGAAACTAACACCTTGAATTTTAGCTCCATCTTGCTATAAGTTTGACATAATTGAAGCAGATTTTCATTCGTGTCAAGATCATTCACAACACGGCCAATGTAGAACTCATTCAAATTTGTGGAAGTTACTATTTCATCAAGTTTGATGGTGCCTGAACTTAACCAACCATTGCTTCTCCAGGAACAGGTCATGACTCTTTACTGAGCCCTTCCATAAGAGTGTCCAAGTCACTGGAAGACTCCTGCCACTTTACAAAAGTGTATTTTAGAGAGAATAGATTTAGCTCCTGTTTCTAGATGGCCATGAACTCTTAAAGTAGTGATTACCTTAAGCTGAATCTAATTTATGTGTTGTTAAGCAGAAGACACAGATGCACTCTTCTCTCTCTTGCTTGTTCACGTACTACTCTTTGTGCAAGCACAAGAAACAGGGTGATCATGGAGAAAAGTTCATCAGAGAAAAAACCAGGCTGAAAATTAATAGACCCAGGGATTGGATATGGTTAATTTTTAACCATAGGATGAGCAACTCTATCACTGCATCAAGGAAGAGGGCAAGAATGGCAATTCAGAGACAGGATTTCCCCTTTAGGGTGGTTCAAAACACTCACTAAAACACACCCTCAGTGATTAAACACTGGATAGGACATTTGCAGCTTAGTCCATTTACTATGTAAACTCCAGTAAAAACAAAGTGGAACAGCTTCTCCAGGACTTAGTTCTCTTACTAGAGATGCTATAAATCAGAGAAGGTTATACTAAAATACTGTGAGAGCTACAGCAGGGAGAAGAATGAAGTGATCCCTGTTGATCACACAACCACAAAGCCCCTGGTTCTGATTTCAAGGTTTTGTTTGTGTGGGGTTCTTGTATTTCGTTATTTACTTCTTTGCTTCAAGGACTGAAGGGTTTATTAAACCCTTGTGTTCATCTTGCGTGGTAGGAACAAGTGTCCTACTGCCCTGTAGGATAATAACATATTTCATTCCTTGCAAAGGGACTAAGCTCTGAAGGATTCCACTTGTACTGCAGTTTCCCCCTGGGCACCTCACCCAAACAGAAACAGGGACAGAGGTAGTAATTTGCACTTTTTGAGAGAGACTACTTATACAGCCTCTAAAGCTTTATTATGAAAGGAAACTAGAAAATGAATCGTAAGTTGAAGTAAACTAATATTATTAACCATTCATCATTAAGCATAAATACAGGTGACTAGAGAGCCAAAAAGAAACATCTTCTATGAACAAATTAGACATGAGTAAACCATAGAGAAAAAGCTTTACAGAAGAGGTGCTTTTTTTTTTTTTCATTTAAAGGAGATTAAAGGAATACTTTTGGCAGACAAGTGAGATGAGGGAAGAAAATGGGCAAGCTTTCTGCAATATGAAACTATATTCTGCATTTATTTCTCTGAAAGAAATAGCTTAGTTGTTTTTCCAAAAAACTTGCTGTTACAGTACATATCGACTGACTTTATGGGTCATAAAACTGAGGAGATTACCTGTCAAAAATTTGACAATACCATGTAAACAAACTCAACATCAAGACATTCTTATGGCACTGTACAAAGTTATAAAGTCTCTTAACTTACATCAGTGGACATTGACTACTACTTAACAGTTTGAACTTCCACCTGCCAACATGCCCTGATAGTAATCCCATGTTATGAGGAGTCTGACTGTTGCCAGCTGAGATTCTTTGTTGTCAAAACAGAATTCATTTAATATACTTCTAATGCTCTTACTGTGCAATGTTTTCAGGGGAGTTTATATACTGCACCTTTAATTTCAGTAATTGATTTTCAATTTGTGCTGTTTCCAGTTGTTTTTGCTTCTCTCTCAGCTTTTCCATAGATTGCTCATGTGTGTGTTTTAAATTCCTTATTTGTTCCCTTATATCAGAGTTCTCCAAAGTAACATCCACCAGAGTTTTCTGAAACAAAGAGGCAAACCACATATTAAGATTCAGAAATAATTCAGTGAGCTGACATAGTCAAGAAAGTGTAGAACAGGAAAAAAAAAAAAAAAAAAAGAAAACCAAAAAACCAACCCACAAATATTTAAGGCAATCCTGATTTGTCAATGTAGTGTGAACAGTGTTGCAAGTTTTAACATTTAAAATTGTTTTTTGTTGTTTTTGGTTTGCTAGAGGGTGTTTCCATGAGGAACATACTCACTGAAATCAAGTCCTGGAACACAACAAAAAGAGGAAGGAATATGGATACATTTAAGTACAAATATTACTCCCAGTAATCTTCCTTTCTTCTCTCCAAGGGCCATATATAAAAATATATATATTTTATATATATATGTACTAAAGTGAAAATAACTATGACATACAAGAAAGCAGGAACTTTTTGAGTTTAGATACATGGGAATTTGGAATCCTTTAAAACAGAAAATACATCCCCACATTCTCCCTCCCCCAAAATTTCACAACTATGTAAAGCCTCACAGGTATTTAGCATCCACACATGCCACTTCCATCTCTATTAAATAGCAAAGGTAGGAGAGCCAGGATGTGCTCTGTTTTGCACAACACAGAACAAATCACATTTTTACCTTAAGATATTTTGTAGAGACATGACTAGTGGCATTAGTCTGCAGCAGATTAGTATCTCTTGACTGTACAGTCTTTTAATGTTGGTTACAAAACAGTCTCTGTATTCTTCTCCTTAGTGTCACGAATTAGCTGCCTCAGATATCCAAGACAATACTTTATGGCTTGTTTAGTGTTAGAAACTATTTTTGTTATTCACGTTTAACATATGCTTTTAAATCCATGTCAGAAAAGGAAGTTGTCAGCTGTGAAACAGCTGTTAAAATGTACCTGCAAGTCTATTGATGCTGATGTCAAGGAGCTGTTCATTTCACTAAAGCTATCTAAGGCTGCAGCCTGCACTCGCACATGATTCTCTAAGGATTCCTGATGAGCATTTGTCACCTGAGCAGGAAAAAAAAAGAAGTTTTATATAGAATAATGATCAAGTTTACCTATTCTCTCAAAGGGACCTATAGAATAGATAGATCCCATGGCTAATTTTCACAGTACTAGGATGCTTAAAATATATAGACCCCAAACCACATGCCTGTACCTCAAAAACAAACAAGTAAAATATATAATTCAAATATTCTAACAGAAGTGAACATAAAGTGAAAGTGGCTGTCTGCTGTTGAACAGTAATCAGCGTAAAACCTTTTCTGAAAGGACAAGAGGACATTTGACAAATGCCTATTCAGAAAGATGATATGCATAGAGTGGGTAGGTTGCTGGTGAAAATCAGAAGAATGCAAGAAATGAAGAAATCTAGAAAGGTTTGGGTGAAAGGTAGAATAGCCTTAATTGAGAAGGAAGTGACAGAGTATGTAAAGAAGCAACATCAAGAGCACCAAAGAATCAAGCAGAACGAAGCAGGCAGGAAAAGTCAGCAGAGAACTATGTTGTGTGAAGATCTGTCTTTTGTTGTGCACACACATACACACACTTGCATGCTTAAAACTTGAGGAAATAAAAGCATAAAATGACACCATTGAAGAGGTGACAGAAACCCAAACTGTAGAAATGATCAGGAACCATTTAGTAATAAAGAAGAAAATTGTTACTAATGGAAGCCAGCCCAACTTGGATTTATGTCATGGACTAGACAGATGTGTTTCTTGTTAAAGCAAAAGAGCACCACTGATCGATATGAAGATCAATTAGTGTTTAGTAACAAAGTTATAAATAGATCAGGTCAGGCCAGGGAGCAGAAGTTATTTAGTTACTGCTAATTCTATACAAATGTGTGCTCAGTTAAAAACAAATGAAAACAGAAATGCTTTGGATAAATTAAAAAAATTACAAGATAAGAACTTTTGTGAAGAAACTTACTGCCCAAGGGAGAGTATTTGAAGTACAAACTTCAAACTAACTTAATGAACAAAAAGTAGTCCTTGAAACTGATGGGGAAAAAAAGCATAGTGATTCGAAGCTGAAGCTAAGAGTGTATAAAGGATTTTAAGTAGGATCCTCAAACAGCATGGCAGGTGGCAGTCATGTAGAAAACAAACAAAACCAAACAAATTTTAAAAAGCATATGTTATTAGATAGAAGAACACCTGTGCTTTTTTTTTTTCAGGCACTCTCAATTATTAAGAAAGTGTGTGTGTGAGGAAGGATGTCACAGTGTGCCACTGACTTCAGAAAGAATCCTTCAATAAACTGTTTATTTGCTTCGGAATTAGAGATTCTGTCAGAAGTGGTCAGAAACTATTAAGAGAGATTTTCGGACTCATGAAGGATTTCTACTGGTCCAGTGGAGGATCTGGAAGCATAGAATATCATCACTGCTGTTCAGTAAGGATCAACCAGAGAGAAGGCAAAGCTGCATCTAAGCCAGCGTTTGCCTACGTGGTACTGGATGGGGGCTGCATATTGTCAGCATCACAAAGGCTATTTAATTCGTTTCACAAAAATTCAGTTCTTCCCTCCCTCCTCTCAAGTTGGTGTGATTTTTAAAAATTTTTAATTTTTATACTACTTGACACAGAATTTTGTTCTGTGCTCTGATCTTATATATAAACTGACAGTCTTCAAATGAGGAGGTAAGAAAGGCACAGAGTCCCACATCCTTGAAGTTAAATATGTTTAATTATCAAAGCTTCCTCTGAACCAAAGCTGTGAATAACAGTACTGAATATAAAATCCACAGCAGGTTGTCAGTGATTGTTGGACCAAAGAACTCAGCAGTTTAAGACAAAAGGTAAATCTACATACTGCAGCAGGTCTTACTGAAAAAGCACAAAGAAAGAGTTCATCAAATGACCACCAAAAGGTTCATTAAGAACCACAAGGTAAGTCATGTTAGGACTGTCATGCATTAAAGAATGCTGCTACTTCTTTTATTATCATATTTAAACATTACAGTCACTAAAACAGAGCAGTCTGATGAAACCACAACTCTAAGTTGCACAGATCACTCCTAATTATATAGTCAATATTTCTTTCATTTCATATGGCAGCTTAGTGCTACAAAGATCTCCAATAATTCCCAGATTGTCTAGAATGAACACGCACCCAGGCAATGCTATCAAGATTATCTTTCATTTCCAATAACCAGGCAACTAATTCCATATACAAAAGCATCCCTGTCTTACTTTACCTTCCTGGAGGGAAAAGGTAAATAGATAGTACAGGGACAAGTTATTGTCATATACTTTCCCTACAATTGAATGCATACTTACTTTCAGTTCATTCGTAAGCTGCTGTATTTTTCGTTTCATTTCATCATACTCCCCATACATTTTCTTTCTTACTTTTTCCAGAGTTGCTCTCACCTGGTGTTAGAAAAATCACATGCCTTTATCAACCAGACTTACTGATGACACTGTTTGTACTGGGACACAGTATTTTGTTTCTGTGTTCTTTATTGTTACTTTTAGAATTGCCCTTTATTTATTAATTAATTAAAACTTTTTGTCAACAATAGTTCACTCTTAAGACTAGAACTTAATTCTTAAGAGCTGTCCACACAGAGATGATATAAACAAAAATGTGAGCAATTCTAAAATTCTCTGTACACTTAAACACTAGTAAATTAATAATTTAAATAACAAATTTCAATTAAACTTTCCAGAAGACTAACTTATTTAGTTTATTAGTTGAATTAAAATTAACTTGAACATACAATGTTTTCTTTCTAAGAAAAGCATCCAATATGGATTATGAAATCCATATTCATACATTAATTCTGTTACAGCATTTAATTAAGTTTTCACCAAGTGTCCTTTGAAAATAAACCCTTTAGTTTCACTGAATTTGGACTTCCAGGCTCATATCTAGTTAAATAATGTATTAATTACCAATGTAATTACAAATCTGAAGAATAGAGTACCCAATCTGACCTTGTTTAATACCTATGGATGCAAACTATACTTTGCCTTTCTAAAAAAAAATAAAAATAAAATAAAATAAATAAATAAATAAATAAATAAAAGGAAAAAGGGAAAGAAAAAAAAAAAAGGTATGTTAAAAGCCAGCTTGGGTTTGCATGCCATTGAGAAACATGCAAAGAACCAAATTTTCTCAAGAGCACACATTGTAAACCCTCATTAAATGTTTGCCTACAGTTTATCTTCCAGCTACGTAGCTCAAATTCTTTTTCTTCCCCTCCCCTCAGCTGAACACATACTGGTTACAGATTATCTAGGGCAGTCAGCTTACCTTGCATCTGCATAGCTGAAGTGGGGCTTGGGAAGGAAGAAGGGGAAAGCATTAAAAGGGGGAAGTTTCTGGGAGTTCTGCAACATATGCAGTCCCAGAAAGAGGACACTGGCCACCAAACCTACACAAGGAGTGGATGCAACCCTATCCCAGACTGCATGTTTCCTTTGTGATGAGAAACACGGAAGGAAGCTGACTCCTGCACTTCTGAAGGAAGCACTCCTCATCCTGTCTCTACTCACACATATGCACCTGCCCACACACACACTTGCAAGGTGCAAGTTTGACACCAGTACAGGAAAAAGAAGCATCAGTAGTTCAGAACATGGCCTTCCATTTCCGGGCTAAGTCAGAATATGTGGCACAAGCTAAGGGCTCTGCTTATAAAGATGAAACTTATCTGGCAGGCCAAAGTTCACAACTAGCATAGTTGGTTCACAGCCTCCACTTCTTCAAAGGTTTTACCCTTTTTATAACCAAGTACCAGCGCAAAACATGCTATCAGTCTGGACTGAAGTTTCCCACTTTGCCACAAGCCAACAGAGAACAGAGAAGTGCAGGGACATGCTCCCAGTTCAAGCAATCTGAATCAGGCACCAGAAGCAGTGCAGCCTGTGATGTGTACCAATTCATCCATTCCCTGACAGCACTTCAGATAAACTGCACAGGCAGGAAAACAGCAGCTCATGTTCCTTGCCTGCGTAACAGTAGCAACAGACCCTAAATGGCGAGTGCAGGTACTGGTATTAAACACTGGGAGCTTGAAATCTGTGAGTAATAAAGGAGAAAAACAAGTGCTGATAACTGGAGACCAGGCAGATGCTAAGAGTACACATAATTACAGTCTCCTAAACTGCTGGCTTGACACAGTGTTCCTCCCTTTTATATCAACACAGTTCTCCTGCACTTGAGTCATTGTAAGATGATAACCATTGACCAACAGCTTCCTGGGTGGCAAAGGAGGATGGAAAGAGGTCAAATTATTCACTCTGGGCTAATTAGAAGGTTATTGCCAAAGCCTGAGAGACAAGGACTGACAGGCAAAGAGATGGTGAGTCTCGAGCACAAAAACCAGCAGCATCAGAAACTCCTTTTATTCTTTCAGTACAGTTTTTGCCAATTATGCTAAATGAGCATGCACAAAGAAAGTAGTACAAAGTCATCTTACTAGGCTGACTATTTTAAGGCTGCCCCAAAACATACCCAAGTGATTTTACTATATCACCTAATTTGGGAGCCTTTTCAAAACTGTGATGGAGGAGGGGGAAGCAGAAGATAAGAGAGAGTTCATCCTTTCATGCTTACGAAGTTTATCCTGCATAACTTTGAAATTATGAAGGCTTCAGAATGGGAACCTTAAAATCAGTTAGGCAGCTTGCTTGTCCAGCCGTAAGCCCCCCCAACAATCACTAAGCATTACAGAGTATCATCTGGCACAGAGGATGTGAGCTTCAACCACGTAGCTTTTAGGTACTTCAGTTTTTTTTCAACTCAAGAAATAACAAGGCAAACCATTAGCTTCAGAATGGGTTCTCTATTCAAATTTGAGGTTATTTGGTGTGACATCAGTCATCCCGCATACACTCAAAGCTCTACAGAAATATATGGAAGGTATATCTCACAAATTCTGAAGGTGAAAGCATAACTCACTTCTTTAATGTAATTCATCTCCTCTTTCAGCTGATCAGCTGACCAGCCATAAACCACCATTTCTCTCTTATGGTTGTTGTCAGTCCGGTGCACAACGCCATACACCATTCCATGAGAGAGCTTCCCCGGAGACATGCCATTTGGTACATGGTAGAGCTCCTTAAAAACAAATCATATTTTATTTCAAACAAGTTCTAGAATGATTTAAAAATTGAAGGCAGGAACATAAGACAAGCAACTATAGTGAAAGAACAGCAGTACCTAAGAACACTAGATCCCAAATGCCTGTGGACCAAATTATCAACCTTCATATTTTGGGATGATCAGTGATTTCTATAATCAGCTTAGATGTCAATTCTCCACTAGCTTTAATGAAAATGGTATGTGTACAGCCAAGAGCAACAGATGGATTATTGTAAGGAGAGAGACATGAGAAAGAATGTTTTTCTGGCTTATATGGTACTTTTCTGCATTCTTCCAGAGGACTATTTGCTCTTACATTTTCCTTTTGAATTCTTGCAAACACAAAAATTCCTCCATCCTGTCCCTTGCAAAGTCTGTGCTGTGCAAAACATCAAAATTCACAAGTTTAATCTAAACGTTTCAACAGCTCTCAGAAGAAAATGAAACTGAAACTTCAAGGCTCTATGTGAGAGTTCAGAAAATACCATTTTATCTTGTAGATAAAGAAGCAATAATCTTAGTTTTCATTTTAGGATTAACACCTCCAAAACAATCAAAAGTCCATCTCAGTCTATAATTATAGAACAAGTACAACTGATGTTATAAGAGCCAAAGCAGTGCTATGAAACAGCATTCATGTGAGTGTTTCAGTGTTATGAACTATTATAGAAGGCCTTGATAGGAAAGTGAAGTGGCAGCTTTAGTGCTTGTGTTTGATATTTTAGCAATCTGCAGAAATTTCTAGAAGCATATTTGTAATAAACTTATGTCTTATTTTAAAGTGCTTTTTGCAACAGACTCCACTTAAACATCACGTCAATATGCCTTGTAAGAAAAACACGTATACAAACAGTGGGAACCATTGCCCTCGAATATAAATATCTGCAAGGTCAGAAGTAGCCACCCACACCGACTACGCACCTGGCCTCCCTTCTGATAAACCCAGAGAAACACACTCCTGCAGCAATTACCTGAAGTGAATCAGACTCCAGAAGTACTAATTTATATTCCTGAATACAAAGAATTTGAGAAACTAGCTCAGATAGACATCCATGCTTTTAAAATGAGAAGAAAAAAAAAAATCACATCATTTAACTTTGAATATCTGCAACCTGAGATCCTAAAATGAGCAATTATTTGTGAGCATGAAGTTAGAAAGACAGTCTTGAAAGAAACAGCTGTTACTGAATAGTTTTGTGCATTGTCTTTCTTTTAAAAGCCAGTGATGGGGACAAATCACTCACAGGTAACTTCACCGAACTTCCTTTTGCACACCAAATTTACTAAGATGTCAATAGATATGAGATTACTTTTGAAAATATTTGAGTTTGTTTTGTTATTCAGTAATGACACAATATTGAAACTCACAGACTTTTGAGGCTCCTTATAACATTAGTAGCCTAAACAGTATCTAAATACTCTCCTCCACATCAGAGGCAGAAAAAAGGGTGAAACTTATTAGTTTACATCCACACGCATCCCAGCAAGTCTTTAGTTCTTACCACGACAGGTGATGGTAGTAACTGTAGTCTAATGCAATAGCTATTTCTGTTCTCAGCAGCCAAACTTACACAACTACAGTGACAACATAATAATAAATATTTCTTTGGGTAGGGTGAAAATGAACAGGATAATTTATTTGTGTTAAAAGTAATGAGTAAAAATACAAATCTGTTGTATATACTATAGAATAAAATAGTGTCCCTCCTGCACTGACATTGCCTAATGACACTAACATGGCTTTACTGTATCATTACTGGCTCAATCATTTTGCTGAAGCTCTGTGTGCACGCAGGGCTGGGAGGGGAACAATCCTGACACCAGATAAAGACAGTTTCAACCATTTAATAGAAAAATACTGGTCAACTAGCCCTATCTATACCAGATATTATTTTGCATGTTGAAAACGCCGTATGCAGAGCTTTGTATCCTGATAACCAAAAGTTACATAGTTATGATTTGCTTGTTTTTCTCTTCTCTTTACATGCATACAGACAAAAATCCTGCACCTGATTACTTGAGAATAAATACAGGAACTAGATGGGGATATGACTCAAAACTTTTGCATCTGTTTACTTCCAGGGTAGTATAGTTGCTTTGGTAGTTTCATTTCAGCTCCTCCCCCGCATCTGGATGAAGGGATTAAATACAAGTTTCCATCTTCCAGATAACAAGATGAATAATTGCTTTGATTGTTTAGAGGTTACTAAGGCCCCAGACATTGAATTCATAAATCCATAACCTTTACCCACTCTAATCTATATTTTATGAAGTGAACAGCAACTACTAAGATCTTTTGTGCCTCGGAAACATTAGCAGGATTGTTTAAAGTTCTGTTTGCAGAATTCTGTACGGAGATCGTGATCAAGTTCCTTATTTTTAGAACATTACAAACACATTTCCAAGGAATGCTTTACAAGACTCACGCCTCTCTAGCAAAGGAAGATAGATTCAGACCATTGGTTTTGCAGCAAGGGAATCAATCATCCATGACACTTCAATATTTCACAGATGAACAGATTTAAATTTACATCATAATAGGCACATAATGAGCACCATAAGTATGCATAAAGCCAGACTGGTCACACTTCTCCAGCAATGATGACACAATTGTCTGTCATCTATATTTGCACAAGCCTCCCAAGATTTCTTTGTCACTTCTCTTTCAAAAGATTAAAGGAATCTCTATCATCTGTTGAGAGTTCCAGTTCTGCCATGTGCTACTTACAATACAGGATACTGCTTTTACTTCTCATTGTTTTGCTCTGTCTTCCATATATATACACTCTGAAAATTCAATTTTCTGACAAGATTCTCACCCCTTTCCTTTCTGAGGCATCTCAGTGATGATAACAGAATAAGTAAGTACTATAAAATTAACCAGAAGAGTAGGTGAAGCTGGAAGGTTTCTTTAGATTAGAGAAGCATTGCTTTTAAGGTCAAATTATCAGCCAAATCTAGAGCATTTTTTTCACTCCCAACTGCCTGTGCACTTCCAGCACTGGAACAATACCTCTTCCAAGTACGGTTTGTTGCTGCAAAATTTTCTTGAAACCCCTTATCTGAAAAGGCTGGCTAACCTTAAGAAACTCATGAATATTTCTTTGTGGCTACAGTCAGTTATATGACAACTCAAGTTAACCACAACACATTATGCTGATGTACACGAAGGCAGCTTCCAGGAACGTGCTTCATCTAAGCTGTAGCAACAGTCATGTTGCAGTTGGTGTGATCACACAACATATCCTAAAGAAAAGCAGACTATGTTACTTAATAAATATTTAATACAGAAGCTGACACCCCAAGGTTGCAAAAGTCTTAATAATTGTCATGCATCCTGTTTATATCTGTCCAAGCACATAGCACAAGCAAGGTCTGAAGCCAGTATAAACTCTGAAACGAGTACAAACTCATATTTAAATGTGATTTGTGAGCTGCTTTTCATACTGCCCATGGTTTATCAGTATTATGTAAAGGTGGAAAATATGCTAAGACATAGAACACAAGTGTTCTTAAACTCATGACACTAAATAAGAAGCATCACTTAACACATTTCCACTTTTAAGCTCTTTGAAATATTGTAGAATTATGTGCCACATCTAATCAAATAAAACTGTTTCTGTAATGCCACTCTTTATACATTAAGAAAGACAAATACACTAGCTACCAGAAGTAGCTACCACTGGAATTATTTCTGAGGCTTTCATTTAATGCTGGTTTTAATAAGGAGCTGCTTAAATAGCACATAAAAAACAGAATTAGTGCTGGAGAGGCTGAGAAACAGTAACATCAGCCACCTGTAGCAGGTGAACCACATTCGTTATGTCACAACTCCTGCTATGCTGGTGGGAGTGGGCTGGCAGCCACAGATCAGCAGAGAAAATAGGCGCTGTCCTAGATTCAAAGTGCACAACAGCCTCATATCCGTTGCACTCATGTTCCTTGATCCAGGTCTGACATGAGTTTCTCTTGATTATCTGCATCACACTGTGGCAAAAATTCCACTCTTGGCTTCTGTATAGCCTACACTTTTGCTGTGGGAAAAATGTTTGCTCTGCTTTTGTATTTCTGCTCAAGAAACAATAAGGATTTCATCTCTAGGATGTGAATTTAAAAATGTAAATTGAAGAGTTAGAGGGTATACAAAGCAAAAGTATTGGTTGAAGGTTAAGACTGAATGCTGTTCAAACTCTATTGAAAGCCTCAAAACCAGTAAAAATAAGACAAATTTATAAAGCATTATCTCATTTTCATTCTCTGTCCACTTGCTCAAAAGAAAAAAAGAAAAAATCTCCATATATATCTCAATATTCTGCCCTCAAATATCTAGCTGCAGCTTCCAATGACACTTCCAAATTTAGCCATGACAGTGAGGAAAGGGCCTGACTGATAAAAATAAGCCCAAGCCCAAACAGACAATACTATTGTTCAGTAGCATTTTATTATGCAGGGCATGGCAGGCTTCAGAACACACAGATATTGCTTATGATCTGACCAGCACAGTAATCCTTTGTACCTCATGGTGAAGTAAACAGCCTCATACTAGTTTCATTTATTGCCTATCAGTAACAGGAGCAATGGAACAAAATTATGGTAGTCGCAGAAACTCTCAGCCTGAAGTGCTAACAATTCAGATATTTAGCTTTTTGCCAATGAAAGAAACCATCCAATCAACTTGTATTTGTGTCTTCAGTTCTCACATGTTTTTTTCATCACAGGCTAAACAGGAATACAGACATGCAGCCTGACACACGCAGCACAAGTTCTCTTCCTTCAGTTTTTGAAATCATCATCTGACCGGGCACCATCTTTTACAGAAGTCAGGCAGAGGCCATCCTCTTGCCCTTAATGCCTGCAGTAATTCTGTTGTAACAAAACTGCCAGCTCTGCCATTTTGTTCTATTTTTTACACTGGCCCATTTTTATTCCATATCAGAATGACAATAAATTAATCAGCCTAGAAACATAATGCACTGACAGAGATTTAATGAAATACGGCATATATTTTCTGCTAAAATTGGACTGCAGTGAAAAAATCTAAGTTACCATCTATTGACATAACCAATAAAGCATCAGTTCTGAACTGTCAGTGAGCTCTAGGGCAAGATGCTAGCAGGTTCAGTGCCAGCAGTGGCTCCTGTACAGCTGATTTTGCAGCTGCTACACTTTACAACAGTATTCAGTTCCAGAGAACACACAAAATAAAGAAATAACCAGCAAGCCACCGCTATGTCACATCAGGACAGCTCAAAATCACCTCCTTCTAATGAAAGATTAGAAAGAGAAGATTACAACTAAATGTCACGCCATGGTGTATTTATAGTTTTCTGGCATTCCCTTTGACACAGCAAGCTCTTATGCTCTCCTCCCTCACTTCTTGTCTGCCCAAAGAGGAGACAGCCATGCAGCCATGCTCAGATCACCCAATCTGCTGCAACTCTTCAGCAAACACTGCACAAACTCTCTGGTTACCCTCGCAGTTTATTTGTGTAAGTCAACAGTTGTACTACTTAGATTTTTTTTTCCCAAATGCTTTTCTTTGCACACAACATTAAAGACAGCACAGAACTCTAACTTTCAAGTCCTGCTGTCGCATTTGATTCTTGGTGAAGCTGTGTGTTTTGACATTAAATTGCAGAGTGTAAGGCAGAAAGGTGAGCGCTTCTCTAATTTCTCTCTATTAGCATTATCTCCAAAAGGGAAATGCAGCTCTTATAAGACCATATGAGAATTATGTAACATTTGTAAAATTTCTTATTCTCAATGTGATGTACGGAATTTCATTAACACTGACTGAGCTGAATATGGGTGGATCAGCAAAGATAACTGATCACTACTCTCAGAATTATTTGGTGTAGGCTTTTTTTGTTGGTTTTGGTTTGGTTTGGTTTGGTTTTTTAAAGCTTACAGTAAGATAAAACTACCAGAGTATGACAAGTCAAGAATCTTGTGTGTACTATAAGTTACTGTGTAACTAAATCAAATATTCAAAGCAATATATTACATAGTCAATATAAATCTACAGGTAATAAATTCCTGTCTTGCTTTAGAGGCATGAGAAAAAAAACAGTTCATGTTCAGTGATTTTTTTTTTTTTTGTAGTTGCTTCACGTTCAGTGTATTTTTTTGAATTACACAAAAAAAAGTAAAACAAGTAAATGACACAATCACTCTGTTGTTCTTCTTTAATTGCCAAGACATTGAATAATTACAGCCCAACCAGTTCTAAAGATACACTTTCTAAAAGTGTACAATATAGCTCTCATTAAATACAAAGTCTGGCAGAGAAAAAGAAGTCACATAAGGAAGTGACCAAGAAGCCCTGCTCACTGGCACTTCTTTCTCATTATTACACTACTCAGCATAGTAAAATGAGTAAGCCATGAGTCAATAACTGTCCTCCTCAAAAACAAACTTATAGTACTCTTAGGGCAATAGGTCCATATGTGTCAGCTGGACTGGGGATTTCTTCAATCAGATACAAACTGACAGAACTCCAAGCAGTGGGTGACAGTACCTTCATTGCTACAACTAAACACCTTCTGTACACATTCAATTATTACAGTGTACTGGCCCCAAAATCAGCTGATGCAGAATACTTCCAAGTCTCAGGCAAACCAATTCACACACACAGCAAAGGCTCATTTCTCACACACTTAAGCCTATATGAAATGTAAAATTCCCCACTTCAGGTGAGGATCGAGACTTTGCTTAATGAAAGACACTGCTGCTTATAGCAATCCAGCATACAGATTTTAAATAATCAAGTTCTAAAAATACTTTAGTCACACATTGCTGTCAATCTCTGTGCTGTTTGTCTACTACTACCCTTCCACTTTGCATGATGTTTTGCTGTTCCCAACACCAGAGCTCAGGCTCAAAGTTTACAGCTGACTTGCTCAGCATCCATATGCTGTTCAGTCTTCCAAGATGATCCATTTACCAAAACAACTAAAATCAGCTTCCACAGATGCCAGTATTTACTCCTTGTTTGTACAGCATTTGATTAGAACTGCTAAAACTTACATGTTTCTTTCTTTCAGGTTCTTTTGCTCCCTGCTCAGGCTGTGAGACTTCATCAGGTGGTACTGTTAAACGTAGTCTGCAAACATTCATCTGAAAGAAAAACAGAAGTTTGCTTTCAGATTCAAGCGCTACAAAAATTATTTTAATAACTTGCTTTGCAAAATGAATTGTGCTAACATTCAAGTTTTCATTCATTATTTTCTACTTACATCCAATCAGCTGACAAAAAAGTAAGCTATTTGTAAAAGGCTAGAGGGTTTTTTAGCTGGCAAGAAATAATTCAAGGGCATCCATAATTACATACCTGAAATAGCAACAAACAAACAAACAAAAAACCACAAACCTTTTCAATTAACAACACGTTCTTACATACTTATAAATGACATTGAAAGCTCAGATATCAGAACGTGAACGTAATTTCCTAGTTTCTCAGCTTTGTTTGCAGATTTGGCATACTTTAGTCTTCAAAAGGGAGTATTTAGAAACACAAAGATTATTCTGGAGTGAATATCCCTTTCTGGTTCAGTATTTGATCCAACAGTACATAAATTCCACTAAATTCTAACAGAAACGTTATTGAAATGTTATACACAAAATTGCTTGCAAAAGAAAAGCCTCAGAATTATTCACAGAAATTTTAAGAAAAAGGCCAGGGGGGCTGATACTTTTTTACCCCCTATCACTCCTGGCCATGCTTTTGGCTGAGATCTTTGCTGCAACAGTACTTTTAAAGCATCATTTCTCATACAAGAAACTTGGTTACAAACATTAGTCTTATCTGTACATGAGACTTCTTTGTAGAAAACAATCCTAAGTCCTAAACTGAGCAAATGATGAAATGAGAATTTCTTGTCTAAATTCAAAGCTTCACAAAATATTCCTGTGAAATCTCAGCTATCTGTTGACAAAAATGACTCTAAGCTGTTCTTCAAACAGCTAACGCACCTCTTTCATGGTTACTGTGGGCCATCACCAGTTGTTGTATAGTCCAGTGTCTTTTCTGATCCAGATGTCTTTAGTTTCTCCTAACTGCCTATATCCAGCCATGCAGAATCATAGAATGGCTTGAGCTGGATGGACCTTAGAAGCTAGTTCCAAACTCTCTTTTTGTGCAGAGCTGCCACCCACCAGATCCTCGGGCTGCTCAAGGTCCCATCCAACCTGGTCTTGAATGCTGCCACGGATGGAGCGCTAACAACTTCTGTTCCACTGCCTCACCACTCTGAGTAAGGAATTTATTCCTAACATCTAACTAAATTTCCCCTTTTATTTTAAAACCATTTCCCTTTTCCTATCACTATATGGCCATGTGAAAATTTGGTCCTCCTCCTGTTTATAAGTTCCCTTCAACTACTGCAAGGTTGCAATAATGTCTCCCCTGAGCCTTCTCTTCTCCAAGTTAAACAAGGCCAAGTCCCTCAAACTTTCTTCACAGGACAGTCGTCCAGCCCTTTGATCACCTTGGTGGCCCTCCTTCTCCAACAGCTCCCCATCTTTCTCATACTGGGTGCCTCAGACCTGGGTGCAGTACTCCAAACGGGGCCTCAGAAGAGCAGAGGAGACAGGAACAATCAACTCCTTCTTCCTGCTTGTTAGTCAGCAGCCTGGGATACAGTCGGCCTTCTAGGCTGCAAGAGCACACTGCTGGCTCATGTCCAGCTTTTCTTCTATCACGACCTCCAAGTCCTTCTCCGCAGAGCTTCTCTCATTAAGTTCTTCTCCCAGTCTATACACATATCTGGGATTGCCCTGACCCAAGTGCAGCACCTTGCACTTAGCTTTCTTGAATCTCACTAAGTTCATATGGACCCATCTTTCAAGCCTGTTCAGGTGTCTCTAGATGGCATCCCTTCCTTCTATTGTGTCAAATGCACCACTCAGCTTGGTGTCACCCACAAACTTGCTGAGGGCACCCTTGATCCCACTATGTCTATGTTGTTGATGAAGATACTGAAGAGCACCAGTCCCAAGACAAACATCTGGGGGCCACCACTCATGTCCAGCCTTCAGCTGGCCATAGAGCAATTGACCACAACTCTGTGTCTGCAACCATCCACCAAGCTCTACTGAATAGTCCAGCTTTCAAATCCATATCTCTCATTTAGAGATAGGGATGTGGTGTGGAATCATGCCAAAAGCAATACACATTCTTGCTCTTCGAAGTACAGCCTTCCATCAGTCTTGCCCAAGAAAGAGCACAGTTCATGTCTTGATAATTATAGCATTTCCTTTTGCTTCAAAAATCAACAATCATGCTCTATTTGCTGGTATTTACAGCATAGCAGCAAAATACTACTCATAGACTCCAAATTTCACCATTTCAACATCAAGTTCTTCAAATAGTCTCTCATCAAATAAGTCTTCACTTACGAGACTCTTCAAAATGGAATCTCTCCATAGCACCACTATTCAGAATTTCTGTAACAGAGATTCTCATTCTCCCTTCTTCCAAACAATTGACCCTTTTCAAGTTTTAAAACTAGAAACATTCATTTTTTCTTCTTCCCAAGCAAAAAGATTAGAAGAACTATCTGCAAATATCTGCATCAACTCCAGACTTTCTTTAAATTCCATCAAGATGACCAATCAACACTGACAGAACACCAACTATATTACAAAATGCCACTTTCTGCTGCCTTCCATCTTCTTTTAAGTCTCTTTGGTCTGCAGTGCCTTCTATCAATAAGAAAAATGTTCTGACATAATGTTTATGTAAAACGTGTGATCCATATTTGTATTATAAAAAGGGGGAAACGTGCACATAACAAATTCAAGCTAAAGTACAACGTACTATTTAGATACATCTTAGAGGGTACCTTCTGTGAAATGAGCTCTTACTGTTATTTCATCATTCAGCCATATGCTATCAGCTCAAGAACAAAAAGCCACAGAGAAAGTGATAGAAGAAAGAAAGTTCAGTACAAAAGTGGGTTATGTTTCAATATTTCCTAGATAATTCTGAAACAATGAAACAGGTTTGAAAAAGATGGGTCCTTGCACATTGGCTTTAGACTCTGATTGACTGCTATCTGTGTTCTTCTGAGAACACCAGACTCTTCCCTTACACTGCAGAAACTGTCAGTCCTTTCTGCTTACAAGTTATCAAGATACATTAACAATAAATTCCTCAGTGCTAGAGCTCACTGATTCATAAAGTAATTAATACTATGCTTTATCACCTATTTAATTTCCATTTCCCCCTGCTCTTTCTTCTCATTGGCTTAGCAAGGCTCTTTCCTCTAAAACAAGTGTGTTTACAACAAAAAGGGAAAGAAATACTGGCATTCATCCATGTAGTCAAACAAAGACCAGACCTGTAAATAGGAAATAGTACTGAGTTTGTGCTGTGCAGGAAGTGACAGATGAGGCCAACTTTTTCTTACAGGGGTTTCAAATGAAAGAAAGTTAAGCTAAATCAAATAAAAAGACTCTTAGGAGAAAACATGACAAACACCTCAAAGAAACAGAAACGCATACTAACGGGCAACTCAATGTCAGGTGAAATGGAGTTGTGTAAGTTTTTCTGAAGCTGGCAAATGGTTTGCTTGTCAGTCAGCAAAGGACTAGTTATAGCCAACACATTTATAGGTTTATGGTGCAGTGACTGTAAGTAAGTAATTATGTGTATACCAGTTAGTGAATCATGGCTGCCTGTCACATTACAGCAGTGCATGTGTTACAAAGTTACTATGAAGAAAAATCAGAGAAACCCAGAAGGAAAGCAGGCAAGTTGTAGCAAGTAGCTTGGAAATACAAATCAATAACAGTAATTTGCTGAGACTAAGAACACTGTATAAAAGGTTGATAGTATTTAAACTATTTTTCTTGTTCTGTTTGTTTGGGTTTTTTTAATTATTTTTTCTTTATACAATGTCTTCTCTATTAGCTCCCTAAACCACACTTTAATTTCTTTTCCACTTCCTTGTTTCCAAGTTAGCTCCAAACTACTGAGATACCTCAAATCACAACCATATTTTCAGCAGTATTTCTGACAAAAAATGAAGACATAATGCTTCACTTTGCTGCCTGCTGCACATAAATACCATTCAGAGGGTGGTATGAGCAGTCATCTGACAATTCCAGCCTTGAAGTCACGCCCAGGGAGGCTTGTATCACAGTGGCAAAGTGCCATCCAGTTTTGAATTCCTTGCTGGGACAACCTCATACAGGCTGTACTCTTACCATTGTTTATAACAATTGCACTTCCGTAACATCTCTGGGGAAACAGCAGAAAATGTATAATGTAGCCACTCACTCCTATTCTTCCTGGACCACAGATGATGCGTGCTACCTAATGACAGAAGTACATGCCAGTATGTTAAAATTCACAAACACTACAGAGATTAGAAGGGAAAAAACAGCAGGCACCACTTTCCCTATAACCTTGAAGCAATTACGGATGCTGTGTCTACACTGTCTTTGCTATGTACTGCTTCCTAAAGGAACAGCTGTCCCAGCCATTTGTCGGCAAGGTTACTTGACCAAATGAATGAGCAGGCTCATACAGAAATCACAGCCAGCCCTCTTCCAACAGCAAAACATGGCTGTAGTGATGCCCTAACATGGAAATGAAATCATAACAGGAAGAGTCTCAACTCTCTGCCAAACAGTGGCAGAATAATATGCAACCAAGGATGAAGCAGTAATTTCCAATTGAGAAACAAATGAGTTTTGTAGGGAGAAACCCAACAGGGGAATGAAAGAGAATTCCACAAGCAGGAAAAAGAATATAATTTAATTTCCTTCAGTTGGCGATTGACAGTAAGAACACGTGATAAAACCTGAGGGACAGATGTGGCTTCCACCATACTTTCATGTCATCAAAATTGTGATTTTATAACTTTTAAAAAGGAATAGGTGTGCAGGTATCAAGTTTCCCAGGCTATGAGATTTTAGTTTGGTTTGCAGTAAGTATAGCTTTGACAAGCCAACAATACACATAACCTTCTTTATGCCAACATTTTATGCTCACTCCCAGATTTTGACACCAACAACCCACAAGCAGTATTTCCAGAGCTCATCTAACATCATTTGCAGAATGATTATGCTGACAGAAAAACAAAGGCTGATAAGTTCAACCTCCACAACACTAAACAGAAAAGTTTGCTGACTGCAATGGAAATTGACAGGTGAAGACAAGCTCTTCTACCAAATTTCTAAGAGGCTAAAGGGACAGCATAACTGAGAGCTACTGCAATACAGTAATTAAGAAAAAAGCCAATCTAGGTTAGTTAAAAATGTTAAGAATTTATGGCCCAGATCCACAATCCACACTCATGTTTACCATCCTACTCAAATCACTAGGGTGCAACTTAAGACAAAAACAGATGACAGATTCAGTTTGAGTAACGTTCTTCAGACTCTTATTCCTCCTTTCTAAAAACAAGAAACATCCAGTAAGGGACTGACTGCAGCTAACTATGTACTGAAATAACTGTAGAGCTAGTACTAAAATAATGAGTAAAGGTCTGATAGAATAACCAAGGTTACTAGCATAGTGGTAGAAAAATACAAGCTGTTCTACCAGCAACCAGCCTCAGTCTTAGACTTTTACAGTCCTTCACAGGGAAGATATGGTTCAGTTTTGATCTAAATTCAAATCTACTTTGGAGTTAACAAAAATCTAATTTTGCTGATCTTTCCAATGCCTCACAATTAAACAGTTTGGGATAATGTGCTTGTTGAGTAACTACCTGCTATCCAAACAGCTCAAGGGCCAAAAATTTCTCCCTTTGCCCAAGACCAGGTGTTACTTTCAGAGTTTCGAAGGTGAGAGCAAAAACGAAGCAGGTTTTAATTTCAGTCTCCCCTAAACATGCAAAGAAGGAAGTACTTTCATTGGTCATTTATCTGGCTAGTTTTCTCCATTTATGAAATCTCTGCTATGAGATTCCCCACACCACCACAATTAAAGGGCACCTTTCCCATGACCACAGGCACACAGGAATGTGACACACATCTTCCATTTATTTTGCAGTTATTCTGTCTTCCTCCTCACTTCTGACAACTCACGGTAAGAGACTTGCATTCCACTACAAAAGGAACTTTTTTGCTGTGGGAGAGCACAAGTTGTGTGTTACCATGTACAACATGTGTTAATTTGTCATTCTTCACTGGTTTTATAAGCACAAAAGTTTGGATCGACCCACCTATCCCAAAATATTTCGAGATTTGTTATGATCACACAAGTGTATTTCTTTGTATGGGTGCTCTTAGCATTTGATTGTTTTGATTTATTCCTTCACGTAAAACATGTCCCCCCAGTGATAACATCGTGGCCACTGCAGCACATAAGGGCTCTTTCAATCAGGGTGGCCACTGAGACATTGCTATCATGCCTGCCAGAGTTCTAACAACTTTTAGGACACATTTTCCAGTGTGTTAATATAGCATGGTTTGCCTATGAAAATTAAAAAGTTTAAGAGGTCAGTAAGTTGTATTTCTACATCCATATTTTAAAAGAAATTATCACTGCCATGCAAGTCATTTTGGTAAGCTTCCCCATGAGGAAAAGAGTCTCAGGGGAAGTTCTCCGTTGTACATATCAGGAAAAAGTCTCCACCACAGCAAAGCTTCCTCAGGGCTGTCCAGAGAGCAGCCAGGAAGTAGCACTAACAAAAGCCCTGCAGGGCACCCCAAAGCTCTGCTTCTCCCAGCACCTACACAGACCTACTACAGAGGTTCAAAGAGATGTTTTCACACACCGCACACTTCGCCTGAAAACACCAAAACTAAGCAAGCCCAAACGCGCTCCGCCGGCAATCTGAGCTAGAGGGGTCACACCGCCCCACGGCGCGGCCCGCGGGACCTCCCCCCCGCCCCCCCCTCCACTGCCCCGCGCACCTTCCGCCGGGCACGGCCGCCGTCGCCGGCCGTCCTCCTGGGGGTGGTGGCGGTGACCGTGAGCCCCGAGCTGTAGCGCAGCATCCCCGCGGGCCGCCGTGCTGGCGCTGACTGCGGCTCCCTCTGGCCGGCGGCGCCGCTCCGCCCCCGCGCACACACCGCGGGCGGCCGCAGGGGCCGGGCTGCGCAGCGGCTGCCCCGGCGGGGCGGGCCGGCGAGGGGAGAGCCCAGCGACCGTGCCGCGAGGGCGACCGAGAGCCTGGAGACGGGTGCGGCCGGGCAAAGTCACTGGGGGCGCGCGGCTCCCGAGCAATTTGCCCTTGGGACGCCGCGGTCCCCGTGCCGCCGGAATTTCGGTGCACGTTGGGAACGGAGCTTGGAGAAGGCGGCCGAGAGGGTACGTGTGGCACCCAGCCACCTTCTGGGCTTGGAAAAAAGGAGCTGGGGCTCAGAAGAGGCCTCTCTGGTACACACTTCTGAGTGCTCTAATGGGATAGAGCTGGCACCGTCCCCCCCCTCCTGCTGCAATTCCTGAGCCACTCTGGCCTGTCAGCTTATTAGTTGTGCTCCGGGAACACACAGCAGGCTGGGCAGAAACGCCCCGACTGCAGGCAGCCTCAGGTGCGAGGCACCAGGCTGGGGCGACTCAGTGTGCAGTTGGTGGCACATGTTGAAGGTCCAGCAAGGAGGTGAGGCTGGCGCTGGAAATAGCTGGCACTGAGCATACATTCTTAGATTGCAGGTTTGGATTTCAACATTTCCTTCAGAAGATACTTGTTTCTTCCAGGACGTGGCTGAAGGGGAACACTGTAACCCTCCAGCACTGTGCAGGCCCAGATGAGCACACACCGCGTTCACCTGCATCCCTGCATCCCTCATAAGCAAGCAGCATGTTCCTGAGTAAACCAGAGAAGCTACAACAAAAAGAAATGCTTAAGCACAAAACAAATTGCAGAAGAAATATGTATCCTTTGTCTCCATGTAAATATCTTTAAATAATTAAGACCACAAGAAAACACAGCTATAGCTACATGATGTCCTTGCCCATTATGATGTTAACGAGCACACTGCTGTGGCTACGAGCTGTTTGCTGGTTTGGAGAATGCTGAAGAGGAAGTAATTTGCTACCTACTGAGGGACTGGTGCCTCACCCTCTGTGTGAAGTGTCTATTCTCTTCCGTTTCTCAGATCCCTATCTCTAGAGCAAGATACTGAGCCATCAGGGCAAGATGCTGAGCTATCAACATGACATGGATCTGAGGAAGAGAGGAAGAAAACATTGCCCAGGCCTGGAGGAGAGAAAAAAGGGTTGGTCTGCATTACTGTTCAGTCTTCCTTGTTGTTTTCCCAGCTTCTGTTCTTTTCTCTCTTGAGGAAGGCATATAGCCCAAGGCAAATGAGACAGAGCAACCACTTGTATTTGGACTTCTCTCAAGACTGACTGCATGTTATACCTGCTGTTCTGCCTGAAGATGCCCCAAGCCCACTATCAAATTTCCAAATGAATCATCCATCATCTTAACTCATGGCAATAATCCTGCTCTCAGAGGGGATTTCCTGGTGCGGAAAAGGTTTATATTTAACAACAGGGATATGGTTCCTTACATGTCACTTAACTGTTGGGCTGTGCCTTAGCTTGTTCCTGGTCCTTCTGGTGAGCGGAGATGTCTCAACTTAGATGCTAGCATACAGCCTTTGTGTGGTTACAGCTGCCAACATCACATACCTGTGAGATTCTCCTGGTCAGTGAGAAGCTGTGCCTTCAGGACTTCTCTCTTCTCTGGAGAAAGGCATGCACAAAAGGCTGTAGTCACTGCAAGGCACAGACAGAAGAACTGTTTTTCCAAGGGCAGGCACAGAAACCAAACTTGTGCCACACTCTGGTAAAGGACCTCCTTTCCGTGGCCTACAGTATGACAAAGTCACAAAGGTGCAATAGTTGGGTCCCTGGGAGAGTTTGCATGACTGACTTTGAGAATTATGATAAATTTGATGGAAATCTTTTTTTGTGTGTGGATGGAGGAAATACCTGTCCATAAGTAATACAACTACTACAAATGCAGTTTTCTATGTTTTGTCTGTATTACAAAGGGCCCTCCTCATTTCTTAGAATATAATGGCAAGACATGTTTATCTGATACAGCAATCTCAACAGAAACATCTACTTCTGGGCACTTTCTCGAATTAAAATTGTCCTAGAAGGAATAACCTGTAAGCATACTTAGTCTGTTTTTTTTTGTTTTTGTTTTCATTTGTCTACTCTATAAACCATCTCCTTTCCTTTCCCCTAGTCAGCAAACTGCAGCATTCAACTTGCTTTCCCCTTTGTTAGTTGTCTGTGAATCCTTTAAAGTTTCTTCAGCTGTTCTGCAGGCTGTGAGGTTCTATGTGCATAGCAAACATCTGAAAATGCCTAATAATCTCTAAGCTCTACCAAGGCTGAAAAGAATGTGTAAAAGAAAGAATCAAAAACAAAACAAAACAAAAAAAATCCACAGAACCCCAGAACCAACCAACCAAACAAACAAACAAAAAAACCCTTCTCTTTGTATGAAAGCAATATTTGGAATAATAACTTTTTCTCCCAACCACAGCTCTGACACGTTACAGAGATTATGGAAGATTATGGACGGAGTGCTGGTACTGAATGAACACTTGGTACCCCCAGCTGTAAAGTGAGACACTCAATAAAAGATGTTGCAGAAAAACGAGTCATATATAGATGGGCTGCAAAAAAGCTCAGAGTTGTAGAATTATTTTTGGATGAAGACAGGATAGACAAAAACAGGGGTAGGAAGAGGGCAGTAGAGGCTTAGAAGTTCATGACTGGTATGTGAGGGGGGAATAGCTACTCACTACTTCCTGCCCTTGGGAACAACAGATTTGAAATGAACAAGGCACCACATCTATGTGTAATTTTGGCAGAGAATTATGGCAGAGAATATTATGATTATGAAAGGTATATGTGCTCTCTAAAAGCAGCTGAATAAACTCTTGAAAGGAGCTACAGAAACTGTAAATCACGAAGGGATGCACAGAATTACTGACTCAGGAGGTCCTTGAACTGTGGGCTTGCTTTCTCTTTCACTCTCACTGGAGGTTTAAGCCAAGAAGTAACAGTCCACTGATGACCCACTTCCTCTTTCATTCCTTGAGAGATTAGGGATAAACGTCTGCTTGGTTTTAGCTTGGACCTATGACCCTACCTGTCTCGCTCTGATACCATCTGAACTAGATCTGTTGGAATTTAAAGCTCTTATTCCCTGAAGGAGCATAGCATCCTTCTATAAACATCTCTTGCTGTCTTTATGTTGGACGTGGTGCTAACTTACAGACACAGAATGGGAGAATAGAAAGTAAATCACACTTGATTAGCTAGACTAAAACAATACTGATCTTTATAGCTGTACAGACTGCACATAATGTATATACAGTCATACAGATTGCTCACAAACTATACAGAATGTGGTGGCAGATAATAATCTGACCAGGATGAGCTTTTAGTTCAAAACTTGCCAGTGTTTTTGTGAATGTAATGGTACAAAGGAACTGCAGGTTAATTATAAGATGACACTATAATATGAATATCTGGGGCAATAGTTGTTGTGAAAGAGCTAATAAAGATTACACAAAATCTGCAGCAAATTTGAAACATTGGAAATGTTTGTACCTTTTTCCCACTCCTCCGAATATCCTTTTTGCCACCACCAGCATCACAGGTCCAGGAAGACCACAGACCACTATGCTGTGGAAGAAATGAAACAATGTCATAGAAATAACAGGCCTTTATATTAAAAGTCTGTGGTCACAAGATGAATAACAGAGCATACAATACACAGAATGAAAAATATGTCCCCTCTCACAAAACAGCAAATCACAAAGGCAGTACTGCAGGAATGGGGAGCCTGGCCTTAACCAATTTCCTCATTACAGCCACGTTAATTCTCTTCTCCATCGTCAGACTAAATGCTGACAGAGTCCAAAGGAAGGGGTAAAGTCCTCGTGACACCTCATCAGCTGCAATATTAGCCCTGTGAGATTTGGGAATAATTGCTGAGTTACAGATTGTGCAAGAACTCACACAAGTGGTCATTAAGGTTATAAAATCCCAGTTGGATTGTTACAAAAATGAAGTGTTATAATTAACTTCTAATAGCCTTCACTTTCCAGTGGGATTACAATCCACTCTGTCTTTATCATCCCCAAGGCGTGAAGCCCATTTATAGCAAGACTGTCAAATGGACAGATGCATGTGAAATACTTCAGAACCAGACTTGGCAAGACCAGTGGGCTAGATCACCTATTTTTCTTCAAAAACATTTATTTTTCCTGCTAGCATTGACATTTGTATTCCACAGACATGTATTTAGCTCAGCACCATGTAAACAAGTCTCAAACAACCTTTTTTGGGCATTACAGCTAGCATGAAAATGTCGTCCTGTTAACTATCATAAAACAGCTTGTTAGGGGACGAGCACCTGAAATCGAGTCTCCAAATTCAGCAGCCATAGGTCACCTCATATGCAGTATACAGACCAACACGTAATATTGTACAATTCTTATCTTGAGCAATATTTTCCTTTTGCACTGGGAAATACACCGTTAGCTACGTTTGGAGTTAGTCTGGTTCACAGCTGGCCTTTTGAAGGAACATGACACGTACAACTATCTGAATATCCAGCTTGGTTTAGCTACAAGCATCAAATCACTTCTCTAACCTATTGACATAACTGTTTTCTGTCACTTAACACTCCCAGTATGCAGCTAATATAGGATAGCTACAGAAACTCAGAGCCTCCCCTGCTGACCTCACGTAGACAATCTATATTTAGGAATGCCCATACCAGGAGTTTAAAATGCAGAATAAATACTTTGTTTTGCAAAGTTCTCAATACTCATTTTATGTTATTATTTCACCTGGTTTAATTAAGTAAAACAAGGAAATTCCTGGAATTACCTGCAATAGCAGTTCGATTCCACCTTTGAGGTGGGTTCTGAGAATAGTTTCAAACTAATTCTAGATAGCTCAGTAAATAAATAATACAAGGCAATTTGTACTATCATTTCCTGTGGAATAGACAGAACGAACAAGTCAGAATGGATTAGTCTCTCAAAGTCACATCCAGACAAGAACAAAGAGTAGTCCACCAAAGTTAATCAGGTAATGATAACAGCAACATTTTGCCATATACCCTTATGCACATGTATGTATCTTAGTGTATTTCATGCTGTTTGTGTGCCTAGTAGCTAGTCAGCTAAGAATTGCAGTCTCGGAGTGCTAAAATGCAACTTAGAGTAGAATAAAAATTATAGTTAAGATTTTAAAGAAAGATGCAAAGCCCTAGAAGGACACATTCTCAGCTTATTGTGGAAGGGGTTTTGACTGAGCATGTCTGTAAGTCATAATGTTTACACAGCTATAGCCATGGACTTCATTCTATCAAAATAAAAGCTTGTTCTTCACTAAAATCAAATGTTACAACAGATATGAAAGGTATAAAGACAAACTGAGGAAAGTTAATCATGAATACATGGCTGCCTATGAATGGAAGAGAACAGTTCTGTCATTTTTCAATCACTACTTCTTAGGGCTCTAGATAGCATCACCTCACATTATGTTGAAGCATATAAGGCATCAGTCCAGTTCTGATTCAAACTGTACCACCCCTTGATTCACCTTCACCATTTCCTCCTTCATGTAAATCTCCTGTTCAGCATATGGTCACAGCCCACAACAATGTGCAATTCTAGGTCTATCATTCTTTCCTTGGCAATAGGCTTTGTTTCAGTCAGTTCGTGCCACACAAGAAGGATGGTTCAACATGAATGTCATTTAAAAATAATGCAGCACAGGAGTAGCAGCATTGCTCATCAAGGGGTGTGACTTGGCCAGGCCATATAATTGAACTGGTTAACTGGTATGCAGGAGAGCAGAGAACAGGCACACCCACCATGAGTAGATATATTGCTAGGTGCTTGCATTTAAATTATATTTCGCTCCTGGGAGATAATACTAAAAGACAGATTTCTTCTAAAAGGCTATTATTTAAGTATTGTTATTCTTGCAGGAAACAAATTTTAGAGGCAGAAATAAACTGCAGTACAAGTTCTTCTGTAGGAAAAAATGAACAAATTTCAAGGAGTGACAGCATTAATTAGACAATTCTAGCTCACAAAGGGGAAGATTTTACCTTAATTTCACCACAGGAATGAAACAGATGAGGAAAAAGGGTAAAAACTACATTCTATTCTATCTTATGATAGAAGACTGGAATAACAACTAGTGGATTTCAGTCCAACTTCAGGGTGGTATTCCATCAGGAGTATGATGGAATATTTTTTACATTAAAAAAAAAAAAAAAACAACAGGCACTTGTCCAGAGCATCTGAACCAAAAGTTCTTGGTCATTCAGTTGTGTCTGGTCTTACACCTGGTTAAGACCTGTTCTTCCATGTTCCATCGCAGAATGTTGCTCATAGAACTTCAGTAGTTTCTAACGACTCTCCCAGCACACTGACTGCACACACCCATAGGCAGCACAGAGAGTTATACATAAAATCTGTGCAGTACTAGTGGAAGATCTCATTTTCTTTTGTTTCTTAATAGTATTAAGAAAAAAGTTAATTAGAAGTCATATAAAAGGAAAGTAGAGTTGGAAATGGAGGTATTTTAAATCATAAAAAAATAGAATCAGATTGTACTGACTCTATCAGGGGACTTTCAACAGGAAAGCTTTGTTCCTTCCATTCCTAAAAAAACATTCTAGTGGACCTATCTGTATTTAAAGTGTAAGGATTTATTATTATTTTTTTGAATCTTATCAACAGTCTCCTCTCTTCTGCACCAAGCCATTAAAATAATCAATAAAGAAGTAAAGTTATAATCAGTGCAGAAGATACTGTTGGGCCTAACTAAGGTAAAGTAATTAGGAGGGAGTATAGGGAGGATTAAATAGGTAAGGGCACTTACTAACAGCTCAATCATAGCGAATAAATATTATTTAGGGGGATGCCCCTCTAACAAGCATCCCAGTCCTAGAAAGGAAATGGATTCACCCACCTAATCAGTTCCACATTTGGTCATAGCCTGTATCCTGGATGGCCACTCCTCAGATTTCTCCCATGTCATCCTTCAGGCCTCTTCAGCCCAGATTTTTTTTCCTCCTGCTGCACATGGTGTCTCATCCGGTTAGCAGTACAGCTGAGAATGAGCATGGTTCGGGTCCTGATCACAGAGAAGGAGATATGTGCTATTCCTGGAAGTCACCTTCAAGAAATATGACAGCCTTTGAAATAGGTGAAATCAGTAACATCTTGAAATTGTACAGCAGGATTTCCTGATATTCTGCCTGCTTGATAATAATGTGAAATTGAAAGAAATGTGTGGCTTTTGGATGATACAAACTTGTCTACAAGAGGAAGCTAACCAGTTTGCAAGACCACTTATAATTTAGAAAGCTTGTATTCTGATATTAAACTCCTCCCACAGAGGAACTATTCCTATCAGGAAGCATAAAGCATAGTGAGGACTCTATCAAAAGACCTTTGCAATGACTTGTTTCATTGACCCACTCATTTCTATTGAATTTTTATTTACTCTGTAAATTTATTCCAATTGGGAGATTTAGAAGGAAGTCTCAAAAAAAAAAGCCTTCTTTTCCTATGTTTAAAAATGGGTCTACAGTTTATCTCTCCTTGTATCCAAGGAAAATGCTGAAAAAAATATGGAGAAAACTGCACAGCAAAGAGCTCCACAGTATGACAAACTCTTCACAGGCTCCAGGGAAGGCCTCTCCTCTTCTACATCACTCAGCTCCACTTACTATTTCTCTTCAGATGCCTGAGCCTTTTCTGTAGTACTTCTACCATGTGTCTGTAAAGAGATTTCAAACTATCTCTGCTGAGAAAGTCTTTAAGTTCTCCACATTAATTTAACTTTAAAAAAAAAAAAAAAAAAAAAAGGAGTTAGCATTAACTGTACTGCCACAAATGTTCAACTGCTATCCTTTCTCATAACTTCACCATGCTCCTTTTGTTGCACTTCTATCCAAATTGCTTTTTGAACAAGTTCATCTATTATATGTTAATAGAGCAAATCCCTGCCTCTGGAATTCTTCCAGAAAACTTCACAAGCTTCCAGACTGGCTGGACTGAATAACACAAAAATTCTATCAGGCCTTCTTGAGTTGGTCTATAGGTTTATTAAGGTAGAATCCCATCATCATCAGTCGCAGGCTTGTTTTCTGCATAAGTATTTCAGCATGGAAAACTATAGTATAGGCCTGCTGTATTTATAATAAGAATGCAGCTTCAGCAAGGAGTGTCCTTTTCCCACTAACTCAGCCTAACGCAGGTTTTTTTTTTTTAAATACAACAACATATTTTAGTTAGTACAATTTAATCTTGTTGACTTTGGAACTGCAACAATGCAATGTTAGCAGAGAGAGCAGAGGTATGAGGGGTATGGAGAAAAATGAATGCTTAAGACAGACCAGCCTGGAACGCCTGGTTCTCCCCTGCGAGAATAGAAAGGTGTGCAAATTATTACTAAGAGACAATTGCCCTACTTTTGGTATTTGCCTGATAATAGCCAAGAAGCAAATGGAGGTGCTCTGGATATTAATGTGGGTTAATAGAATTAAAATAGTACAAAGAAACTATCATATTGTTTTTCATAATTAACCTGAAGATTCACTGCCGCTGCAGGTCACTGAACTGAAGTTGCCACTACTGAAAGAAGAGATGCATAATATTTATGCGTAAAGGACCGGGTTTGGGTGAGCTAGTTATCATGAATTCTACCAGAACTATCAATCAGGTTTACCCACAGTGCTAGCAATGACTGACAGGGACTGACAATAATCTCCTCTGACACAAGACATCATGGCAGGAAGGAGAAGAAGGGGTTTGTCTTCCTGTGGGCCACTGGGAATTGAACTCTGCTGAAAACAGCATGTTAGTCCATCACTCTGCCCTCGGAGATCTCTGTATCCTAACTTACAACAAATGACTAACAGGAACCCAAGGCTCAATCCTCCAGCCTCTAAAATCAGTAGCAAAATTCCCAGTAATTTCTACAGATGTTGGTCAGAGGTTATAATTTATTAATACAGTAATTGCATGCACTACATAGGAAACATCTCGTGTCCATTCACTTTCTAGCTTGGTTTATTTTAGTAAATAATTCAGAGGGGTAGCAAACACTTCAGAAATCTTCATCAACCAGCTATTTTATGACACATGCTGTGCTTTTGTTGATGTATTAGAATACAAAATACATCAAAATATTCTGACTGCAGACAGGCTAAAAAGCTCTTAAGAAAGAATTTTGGTACATTTCCAACTTCCCATATTACTGGAGTTACAGTATCTCTATGAATTTTTGGGTTCTTCTGTGTTACTACGTTTGATATTCTGATGAATATATTTAAATAGAAAGATTTTGTAGAATTAAACACTGGAGATAAAAATGTTTGAAATGTCTTCCAGAACTGTATGCCAACTAAGTACTTCTGCCTCTGTCCTTAAGGAAACAATGCATTTTCCATACCTCCCCTCAACTACTCGGGAAAATTTTCAGTCCATTTAGATTGCTCTTTGTCTGACAGTACCCAGAAATAGCTGCTGTACAGAGGTTAGATTCCTTGGCTACCTTTAAGTTAGCATATTTAGCTACCAGGAACAACTTTGCCACAGCAACACAAAAGTTAAAATGCACTGACTTACTCCATCATGCACATAAAACTTGAAATTCCAGTGTTTCTGTAGCCACATATAGTCCAGATGCTTATAAAAGCTGTGGCTGAATTTTTAGCTGTCTTTTCTGGTCAAAACCATCTGATCATATTAATATAAAATCTTCAAAAAAAGATGAACTTTTATCTTTGTGGCAATTCTGAGGTTTCTCTTGGACAAGAATAGCATGATTTTGTACAGAGCTTGATAATACACAGGGACCTTGACAGGCTTAAGCAGTGGGCCCAGGTGAAACTCATGTGGTTCAACAAATTCAAGTGCAAGGTCTTGCACCTGGGTCGAGGAAATCCCCATTGCCAATACAAACTGAGAGATGAAAGGATTTTTCAGCAGCCCTGCTGAAAAAGACCTGGGGGTACTGTTAAATGGCAAGCTGGACGTGAGCCAGCAATGTGCCCTCACAGCCCAGAAAGCCAACCATATCTTGGGCTGCATCAGAAGTGTGGACAGCAGGGCAAGGGAGGTGATCCTGCCTTTCTACTTTGCGCTGGTGAGGCCTCACCTGGAATACTGCGTTCAAATGTGGTGTCTCCCCAGTACAGGTGAGATGTGGAACTGTTGGAACACTTCCAGAGAAGTGCCACAAAAAATATCCACGGAATGGAACACTTCTCCTGTGAGGACAGGCTGAGAAAGCTAGGGCTGCGCAGCCTGGAGAAGGCTATAAGGTGACCCGATAGCGGTATCTAAAGGGCAGCTACAGGAAAGAAGGGGACATACCATAGAACAAGAGGAAATGGCTTCAAGCTCAGGGAGGGGAGATTTAGGTTAAATATAAGGAAAAAATCTTTTACAGTGAGGGTGGTGAGGCACTGGAAACAGCTTACCTAGTGTTGTTGTTGATGCCCCATCTCTGGAGGCTTTGAAGGCAAGGCTGGACAAGGCCCTGGACAACCTGACCTAGCCGTGGTGTCCCTATTCATTGCAGGGGAGTTGAATTAGATGTGGCCCTCAGAGGTCCCTTCCAACTCTAAGGATTCTATGATTCTATGAATACAAATTGAGGGAATCTGCTCAAGTAGAAATTATGGTCTTGTTAGCCTACAAAACATGACTGATGACATGGCTAATTCCTGATGATATGGCTAATGTGGGCACCCAGTAAATAAAATCACACAGTTCACCACAGTTCATAACTATCCCATGTGAATTTTGGAAAAGAGAAGACATTCTTAGGTAGACTGAAATTGCGACTGCTCAAAATTCATTAGTTTCCATGAAATGGAGAGATGCTAAGATTGAGTCATGTCAGATTAAAAAACAAACAAACAAACAAACAAAAGAAAGGGCGGTTGAACTTCTGAGAAAAACCACAACACAGTGCATACAGTTCAGTCCTCTTAGAAATGTTCAAACACACATTTCTACTTTTCTTACCCTGCTGACACTTTTCTTGGTCAGTGCCTGAAAATAGGTGGAAAGAGATCAGATCTGAAAGGACGTTGGAAATCATTTCTTTGAGAATACCTTTAAGTGTTGAAGCAAAAGACAACTTGGTTGCCTGAGAAATTCTCTCTCATGTTATAGTCCAGCCACAGCTGCTACCTCATTTCGCTTCCCAGACCATCACTTGCTCTTATGCAGGGCATAACAGATGCCAACACTATATCAGAGTTGCTGTCTACCTTGTTTGTCACTGGCCAGGATTTCCTGCTTTGAAGAGAGGTAGAAGAATTCCACCAGAGACAGACATTAATTATCCTCCCACTCCCTCTAAGTATCTCCCTGGATCCCTAATCATTAAAGACTGGCTTACTTCCTGAACAATAGGTTTAGTTAAACTCTGCCGACAGATTTTCATGAATAATGAGTATTCTTAACAGTTATGAAACATCTCTCTCATGCTAAACTGTCATAACCAGTGAGTTACAAACTCTAATCATGTTCTAAAAAAGTACATGTGTTGATCCTCCTCGCTCCATTTTGGTGATCATCTCCTTGTCACAGGATTACAAGACAACGAAAAGAGCAGATGCTGATCAGTGCTCTTTCTGTCCTTTACCACATAACATAAACTTCAAAACAAGTTCAGTATTTTTTCCAGTTCTTCTCCAAAATAATTTCCCCAAACCCAGGATCATCACCAGGTTTCTACTGATCTGTTCTGGTAATGCAATAGAACCTCTGAGTACTTCTTACAGCAGCAGCACTTTTACAAAGTGCATCACAACTCACTATTATACGGAGTAGTGCACATTAGTTACTTGATTCACTTCAATTTCTTAAATACTATTTTGACTGTAGTTTTATACTGAAAAGGATCTTTCTTCAGCAACAGACCACTTTCTGCAGAAAATACTTCTCAGAATAGCAATCTGGCTTTATTCTGTACATTGTTGGACATCTTCATTGTTGGACAATTCATACACCAAGAGGATTAAGTAATTTTGCCCATTTTTCAAGAAGCCTGTGCTGGAGCTCAACCTCAAGTTTACCAAGCTTCAAGATATACTTTAGGTTCTCAAGACCTCTCAGGTTGGCTTATAAATGATCTCCCTTTTTCGATGGAGTATCACAATTGGCTCCAAACCAGTTGCTTGCTGGGAAAGCCAGCAAAAGGCGTACTATTAGACCATAATTAGCACAAGTCAACAAGTCAGCAGAACGGGTGCAATACGTCAGCTGCAATGCCAACCACAGCAGGAATCCTGGCTGCTTAGCACTGTTATGGGATGAATTTTACCACTCTCATCATACTGAAGGATGCCAG